AAAAAAAAAAAAAAAAAAAAAAAAAGACTCAATAATAAAAGAATAAAAACAGAATGGTAAAAAATATAAAAGAGGCTGGGCTCCTGGAGCTCAGTGGTTAGGGAGCTGGCCACATGCACAGGCGCTGGTGAGTTTGAACCAGGCCTGGGCCTGCCAAAAAACAACAACAACAAAAAAGTAGCCAGACATTGTGGCAGACACTGGTAGTCCCAGGTACTAGGGAGGGTGAGGCAAAAGAATCTCTTGAGCCCAAGAGTTTGAGGTTGCTGGGAGCTATGACACCACAGCATTCTACTGAGGGCTACAAAGTGAGACTCTGTCATATATATATATAGAAAGGAAGGCTCGGCACCTATGGCTCCATGGCTAGGGTGCCAGCCACATGCACCCTAGGGCTGGTGGGCTGCAACCAAGCCTGGGCCTGCCAAACAACAACTACAACAAAAAACAAAAAATAGGCTCAGCACCTGTGGCTCAAGTGGCTAAGGCACCAGCCACATACACCTAAGGTGGCGGGTTCAAATATAGCCCCGGCCCACCAAATAACAATGACAGCTGCAACCAAAAAACAGCCAGGCATTGTGGCAGGCGCCTGTAGTCCCAGCTACTTGGGAAGCTGAGGCAGGAGACTCGCTTGAGCCCAGGAGTTGGAGGTTGCTGTGAGCTGTGATGCCCGGCACACTACCCAGGGGGATAGCTTGAGGCTCCGTCTCAAAAAAAAAAAAAAAAAAAGAAAAGGCAAGGCCAAAAGAAGCTAAGAAAGGAAGGAAAGAAAATAGAACAAGTAGACCATAAAGGTCAAATAAAATGGAAACAAATAAATCAGTACCTAATACAAAGATAACTGAACAAATGTTTCAGATAAAAGACAGAAACTGAGACTTAGCAGTAGCATCAGACCTAACTGCGGGCTGTTTATGGAAGGTGTGTGATGCAAGATACAGAATGGCTGAAAGCAAAAAGAGGAAAAAGGATGTACCTGAAAATTCTTTTTTTTTTTTTTA